GGCCAGGGACGTATCTCTGCGGGCGAGGGGCCGCAGGCGAACGGGGCGCTGCCGCAAAATGGCGGCCGCGGGCTGAAAGCTGCGCCCAGCGAAATGGCGGGAGCGCCTAGTGCCCGGATGTGGTGGCGCAGGGCGCGCGGGGGGCGCATGCGCGCGGGCAGGGGCGGGCCTGGCGGCACCACGTGATCCGACCGCTCCTCCAAAGCTGGAGGCTCGGGAGTGGTGGGGGCCCCGCACCCTACCTCCCATGTAGCCTCAGTCCCTGGAGCCCACTGTTCGTCGCGAACGTTAAGAGAAAGTCACCTTGTAGTGTCCTTTCGTCCCCCGTGGTGACACGCACGCCACCAGTGTTTGGTTCCCAGTTAGAACCTCTTTTCCAAGTCACTTAGGTCCTTGTGTTTGGAGCCGTCTCATGGTGGTTCTCATGTTTAAAGTATGTGTCTGCCCTCCTACAATCGCTGGCACGCCCAAATACCATACTTCCAAGCGCAGCGGTATGCCGACCCGTGGAGCTGGTATTTATACCGCTGGCTCCCATCCTGGGTCCCCGCCCCTGGCGCTACTGTCACCAGCCGGCTCGGGAGACGCCCACAATTAGCCAAGCCCCACGTCAGCCTGGCACCGCCTCTGTCCAGTTTACAAGGTGGCATGGAGTGTAGCTTCCCAAGGCAGTCTGGGTAGTGTAATGTTTCCCGTTGGGCTCGGCGTAGAGGAGTGCCAGGGGGAACCTTGAGTGGGGGTTGCAAGGGAAGAGGGGGGGTCGGGTGTATGAGAGGTGGGAAGGCGTGGGTGCTACTGGGGCAGCAGGTCACATTTCCTAGTGGTCCCTGTGTCTGTCTTTGGTACACGGGCCTGGCTGGGCAGTGAGGCCCCCAGGATTGAAAAAGCATTTGTGGCAGGCATCATGGCATCGGATGAGGGCAAGCTTTTTGTTGGAGGGCTGAGTTTCGACACCAACGAGCAGTCACTGGAGCAGGTCTTCTCAAAGTATGGGCAGATTTCCGAAGGTGAGTCTGGCCGGCAGGGTGGGTCCTGGGGCTACTGGGTGCTAATCTGGGGCTGCTGTGCATTGACTGGGACTCTTGCCGGCAGTGGTGGTCGTGAAAGACAGGGAGACCCAGCGGTCCCGGGGCTTTGGCTTTGTTACCTTTGAGAACATCGATGATGCCAAGGACGCTATGATGGCCATGAATGGGAAGGTGAGTACCCCTGCAGCATGTCTCTCTCAAACACACTCAGGGTGTTTAGGGAGTGAGCAGCAGGGGGGCTGACCTAGTGGCCTGTCTCCAGTCTGTAGATGGGCGGCAGATTCGAGTGGACCAGGCCGGCAAGTCGTCGGACAACCGCTCTCGTGGCTACCGAGGTGGTTCAGCAGGGGGCCGAGGCTTCTTCCGTGGGGGCCGGGGCCGGGGCCGTGGCTTCTCCAGAGGTGAGTTGCTTCCTAGGGACTGGGCCAGCTGTACTGCCTCTACAACAAAGCCTCACCCTCTCCTGTCTATCCCCCACTGCAGGTGGAGGGGACCGAGGCTATGGGGGAAGCCGGTTTGAGTCCCGGAGTGGGGGTTATGGGGGCTCCAGAGACTACTACAGCAGGTGAGGTGTGGGGTGGCTTTTCTGTTCTGCTGCAGACAGCCGTGGGCAGATGCCCTGGGCGGGGTGTGATAGTCTGGTTGCAAACCTTTCTGTCCTTACAGCCGGAGTCAGGGTGGTGGTTACGGCGACCGGAGCTCAGGAGGGTCCTACCGAGACAGCTATGACAGCTATGGTAAGTGTTGCTCCAAGGGTGCCACGCTGTTGTGGCTGAGGCGGGTGCTCTGCGGCCTCTGCCCGCCGCCCTGGGCACCACGCTCAGACCTGATCGCAGGGCTTGCCCCTAATGGAACCATCTGCCCCCACAGCAGAAAAACCAGCCCGCCCCCCGTAGAAAGGGGTCTAAGGTCGTGTGGCCTCCCCGCATGCATGTGCGGATCTGGCCCGTGCCCTGGCCTCTGGGGGGTTGGTGCTCCGGCCCAGGCCGCCCCCGGCCGGCCGCGGGGTGAGGATGCGCGGCTGCTGCTGCTTCGGTGCCTTGACACTGTGCTGCTTCTGTCCTCAGCTACACACAACGAGTAAAACCCTTCCTGCTCAAGACCGTCCTGCCAATGGCCGTATAATTACAGATTGTGGGAGCTTCGCGGAGTCGTTCGTGTGTACTGACACACCTGTGTTTCCACTTTTGTAGTCCTTTCCGTTTTGATCTTGTCCAACACAGCCTGACAGCTTCTGACCCGAGAGGGCCGTTTATAGAGTTTGCTTTTTGAGGACACGCTGTCCGTTTTAGTCTTAAGAGTTTTGAACATGTTCTGGAAAGCACTTCAGATTCTACCTTTTTGTTTTTATCATGAGCCATGAGGTTTTGTTTTGTGGTTTCTTTTTTTACCCCCGAAGTGGTCGGGGGTTGGGGGGCAGGGGAGGGTGGTGTGGGTGTCTTGGGGGGATTGTATGGCCATTTTGGTTTATTTTTGGCGCATGGACACTGGGGGTCTGCCCTGGTGACCTTGCCTTTGAGCCGGAAAGGACTCGGATCCACTCCTTATCGGAAGCTGAGCACGCTGTGGGTTTCCCCAACTCCGAGTGGAGCGGGGAGTAGGGCAGGCAGGCGGGCAGGCAGGTTGTAGCCTGGGGCACACAGCTGCCCCGGGTGCTGCCTGCCTGGCCACCTGCACAGGTGTCTCACTTGCTGTAAACGCCTCCAGTAGAGACTCAGACATGCCCGAGAAGTTCTTAAAAATGTTTATTTATATTGTCCTTTTTTACTGGAAGACGTGTGCATATCCATTGATGTTGTATTTGAAGTGGTTAAGGAATTCTTGTACGAAGTTCTGGCTTCACGAAGCCGATTAAAAGCCCGTCTGAAACGAACCTTGCTCTGACACTCGCCCTTTCATTGCACAACTTGCCCTGCCCATCCCATAACAGCTGGGCAGTGAGGACAGGCCAGTGAGCCATAGCCGAGAGCAGCCAGTAGACCTCCAGCTGACGGCCACCAGTCTCGGCTAGGTGAGGAGGTGGGCGACGGGCATGGGCAGTGCAGGTGGCAGGTCAGCCCTGGGGGCTGGGCTCCCTGAGGGCTCGGAGGGCTGGGCAGCACAGTGCAGCAGGACGGACGGACGTGGACATGCAGGTAGGTTCCCGACGCTGACCTGAGGGCCCCTGACTTGAGTAGCTAGTCTACCGTTACTTGACCCGTTCTGAGCGTTCTCTGCTAGCCTATGGAAGCTGCAGCCCCTTGGAGAACAGAAGTGTTGTGCGCCCAACAGAAACCTCAGATGCAAGCTGCTTCCTTGGCTAGCTCATATGTGGAAATAGCCCTGTAATTCGAGGTAACTCCTTTGCTCGTGTCCGCATCCCTCTGTCGAGAGCGCCCACCCGGGGAGTGTTTCTTTGACTGGCTTTTGGTTTTGTTTTCTTTTTTTCTTTTTTTTTTTTATTTTTGAAGTGGAGCTGGAACCAAAGCTACCAGGCTCTAGCTGTTGGCCTGTGGGCGGCTCAGTGACCACCCTGTGAGTAGGGTCAGAGCGCCCCTCCAGCCCTTCCGGGTGAGGGCTGCACCAAGTGGTGTCCTCTGCCATCTTTTACTGCCGCCATTAGATTTCCCAGCGCCCAGAGTGATCATTCTCTAAGCCGCTCTTTCCCACATGGCCACCTGGGGTGGCCAGGCCTCGCTCACAGTAGGTGGTCTGTGAGCAGGGTCAAAGTGTTCTTCCAGTCTCCTGAGTGAGCCACACTGCACCAGGCGTCCTCCACTGTCTCACTGCCTCCATTATGTTTTCCCAGCACCCTCAGCGATCCTCCCACGTGGGCAGCTGGCTGGTTCTGCTTCGGGTGGATGTGGCCTTGGCCTGCCCAGGTGCAGGCCCTCCTGGCCAAGCCCACGGCAGTGCACCTGGGCCGGGCTGGGCACCTTTGTTAGCTTTGAGACCCTTCTAGGAGCTGTGGCAGGTTCTGGGAGGTGGGGAGGACAGCTGTGAGTCCTGGCCAGCACACAGGAGTAACGCTCCTTTGCTTTGGCAGGTTGAAGGAACAAGCCGAACCCAGGAAGAGGATGCGCTACCCACATTCTCAGGTCCCAGGAGGGACGGGTCTGGAGCGGTTTCTACCAGGGGCCACAAGCTGGAGAGGGTTGCCTACAGCCAGCTTGTTCCCCAGCCCCTCCCTGTGAGTGCAGGACCTGGGCTTGCTGGGAAGTGGTGCCACCTCACTGGGCCAGCAAGCCTGACTCCTCCATCTCTCCACAGGGACAGCCGTGGCTCCAGGCCGAGCACCCAGTGCAGCCCCAGGACAGACCCCCCATGACAGCTGGAAGTGGGGTGGTGCCTGCAGGGCCTAGCCGGAATAAAGTGTGTGTACCCACTGAAGTGTCTTGTCTGATGGGGTGCCCTTGGGTGGCTGCAGGGGCTGCCAGATAGCAGACCATCTCATCAGCAGAGAGGGTGGAGGCCAGACCAGCTCTATAGGCCAGCCCCTGTTCGTCCTCAGCACCACCAGACCGGTTGGTCCAGGGTTGGGCCTAGGGGGTCCAATGGTGGGTTCCTCCATACTCAAGGGGGCACACTTAGGTTGAGGTTCCATCCATGTGGGAATTTGACATTGCCTTGTTCCCTGGTCCAGGGCCCTGAATTGGACAGTCCCAACATGTCCTGAGGCTAATCCAGGAATTTCCTGTCCAGTTGCCACTCAAGATAAGCGGTGACTTCGTCCGGGTCTGCCTCTGGACAGCTGGGTTTAGACCTTGGCTGGCAGCCCCTGCTGTAGGAACGGGGTGGAGTCTGACTGGGCAGGGGGCGGGGTGTTGTGTGCCCCGCCCGCGCAGTGAGTGACGAGAGGGCTGGGCGCCGCTTCCGCCGGGCCATGGGGCCGCGAGTGCCGCCGCTGCTTCCTGCGCTGCTGCTGCTCTGTGGGGCCCCGGAAGCCGCCCGCCTGCTGTCGCCCGCCGCGACGAACGGGAGCCGGCCGGTACTGCCGAGCAACGGCACACACCCGCTGGGCGCTCCGGGCACGCCGCTGCTGCGTTCTTTCTACGTGCTCATGGGCGTCAGCGTCTTGGTCGCGTTCTACTTCCTCATCCGGGCCTTCAGGTGCGTCGGCGCGGTTGATCTAGGCGCGCTTCGTGTCTCCCGTGCCGGTCCGCGGGCTGCCCCGCCCCTCGAGTGGGCGTGGCTCCGCGGTCTTCTCGGGATCCGGGGCGGGTTTCTGTGGCGCGTTGCTAACGGCTTCACCGGTGGACGCCGAGCGTGTGGCGTGGCGGGCCGCCTCGCCCGCCTCAGGTCACGCGTCTGGCCTCCTTCCCCTCCTCGGGAACCCCCGCCCTCCTTCCGGTGCCGCTCCTGGCGGCCTGTGGACTCAGACGTCCGTGGGAGCCGACTTCGTCCGGCTTCCTTCTGGGCGCCGCCGCCGCCGCCACCTCCCTGGGCCAGACCGCCGAGCTCGTCCTAGTCTTGGCCGGCCACCTTCCCTTCCCCAGGTTCCTGCCGCGCAGGCTTCCTTAATCTGTCCGACCCCACGTGTGAGCGGCCTTGCGCGTCCGTGACCTGCGCTACCGAGGCCGAGGGCAGCCCCATCCGTGGGACCAAGCTCCCGCCCCTTTCCCCACAGGCTTCCCTCTGGTCGCAGAGCTGGCTGTGTTGGTCACTTCCTAAGTCAGGTTGATTTGCATAGATCTCAGCAGAGTCCCCAGACTGCAAACTGCCTTCCTCTCCCATGCTGACCCCCAAAAGACCCTTAGTCCCACAGAACTATCCGCCTCCCTCCAACCAATGGCCCCATGCAAATTCTAGATCCCTCCCTTCTGGGCCCTGACCTGTGCTGAGTGAGCCTCATTCCTCTGGCTTCCTGGTGGCTGTAGCCCCAGTGTGTAGGGAGATGGGGTTCTTCCCTCCCACTGTGTCATCCTGGCCCCTAGTGAACAGGAGTGCGCCTCAGTCCCCCATACTGGCCTTCACAAGGCAGATGGCAGGCCTTTGTCCCGCAGAGCAGCTGGTAGGTTGGAGCTGTCAACTGGCTGCTTAACTACCGAGCCAGCTCTTCCCATGGCCTCTGAGGCTGTGGGGCGGCAGGAGCAGACAGTGAGTTTGATGCGCCGACCTCCTGGTGAGCAGTCCGATGCTTAACCTGAGGGAGCGATTCTGAGACCAATGACAGTGTTAGCAGCTTCACCCATCCCCTGGGAGCAGCTGGTAGATTCAAACGGCTGACGTTGCTGTTAGAGGCTAACATCTCATCCCTCCCCAGGTGCCACTGGGGCTCCCTACCCTGTTTCCCCGAATATAAAGACAGTGTCTTGTATTAATTTTTGCTCCCAAAGATGCGCTAGGTCTTATTTTCAGGGATGTCTTATTTTTCCATGAAGAAGAATACGGATGGACACTGAGTGCCTGGCTTCTCTGGATCCCAAGTGTAAAAAAAAAAATAATAATAATAATAATACGGTACACATTTATTGTGTATCGGTTTATTAAAAGAGACCTCACACTTCCTGTCTGCTCCGGCTCTGCTGCTGTGCAGCGGCACCTGCAGCTACGGTCCAGAGTCCAGAGTATGGTAGCTTCGGGGGGCCTTATTTTCAGGGAAGTCTTATTTTCGGGGCCTTATATTTCAGCAAGGGGCAAAACTGTAAGTAAGTCATTTTCGGGGGATGTCTTACTTTCGGAGAAATATTGTCCTTGAGAGCTTGAAAAGTCCCGGCAGGGCTGAGGCAGCTGGTGGGGAGGGGCCCTGGCTTGACCTGCTTCCCCTCCAGGCTGAAGAAGCCTCAGCGGCGGAGCTACAGCCTCCTGGCCAACACGGACGACTCCACCGAGCTATCATTGCTGGACAGCAACGAGGAGACCATCTTTGAGAGGAGGAACTCGAGATGGTGGGTGGGCCGGGGTGAGGAGGGCCGTCCAGCTGGGTTGCCTCCCCCTCTCCCGCTGTGCTCCCTTTAGCAGGCTTTTGGAGAGGCCCTGGGACACAGTGGGTGTGCAGGGTGGAGATATTCTGGGCCTCTATGCTGTGGGTGGGCTGGGGCCACCAGTCCTGGGAAAGGGACTCAGGCAAAAGCCATCCAGACAGGGCTGGACAGAGGTCTCCAGGGTCTCTCCTCCTCAGCCTCCCCGCTCTCTCTTCTTCCAGACAAGGCCGAGACGGGCCAGCAGACTGCAAGAAGGACCAGGGCAGGGCTGGCATCTGTGCTGCTGGCCTTGGCTCGGTGGCCCGGGGAGCACCTGCAGCAGCCTTGGCTCGGTGGCCCGGGGAGCACCTGCCAGAGTGCCCAGCATGCCCTGAGCAGCCTCAGCCAGCCCCCCCACCCCAAGAAATGTGGGCCCCTCGGCAACACCCACCCAGACTGACTGTGGCTGCTCCCCCTTCTTATGGGGCATGGTATCCTGGAGCTGAGGGCGTTGGGTAGGTGGGCCTGCCAGAGTGCCCACCCACCAGGATAGGGACAATAAAATCAGAAGTGGTCACAGCTTACTGGGCTGGTGCCTGACCCCACACTGTGCCCAGGTGTCCTTGCGGCCAAGGGCTTCTCCGGCTTCATGGGACCTGGAGAGAACGCCACTTTATCCCTCAAAGCCCCTGTCTAGGGTACTTGCCCCCCTCCCCTGTACGCCCCTGGCTCCTGTTCTTCCTCCAGGCCCAGCCTCATTTGCTCCTGTCTTGGAGCCTTAGTTAACGGGCTAGACATTTTTGCTGTTGGGGACCCTCTTGTCCCCCTGTCAGCCTTTGTGGAAACTTGAGGGACCCAGGTCTCCTCCCTTGTGTGAGTATCCTGCCATCTGCATTCTGCCACCCCCTTTCCATGGGACTTTGTCCCCGAGACTTGGGGAGATGCTGTCACCCTGCCTGCCTGCCCAGAGCCACTGCCACCGCCACCTCCATGTCATGAGGCTGAGTTGCCACCAGGTGGCAGCTGTGGGCTGCCTGCCCAGTGTAGCCTGTGGCCTCAACTCAGCCTGGGGAGGGGGACCCTTGTCCAGTTGGAGGAGAGGGTTTGCCGCACTGCTCACCTCTCTGCGCGACCACATCTGTTCCTGCCAGGCCCATCCACCTTACAACGATGGCTGCCAGCTGCAACAGACCTGACAAACCACCAGAACTGGTCACAAAGCAGCAGCCTCCTCTGCAGGAGACCCCAGTCTCCTGGACCACACCAGCCCTGCTTGCACCCCTCCCCCTCCAGGGTCTCTGGGAAAACCTCCGGGATTGGATGGCTCTTTTCAAGGACCCTGCACTGGGCCCAGGGCTCCCCGAGGAAAGGTTGGCGAAGCAGCTGCCGGAGTAGCAGTTGGGTCCAGGTGGCAAGGAGAGTGGCTTGGCCTGGCTGTGCTGGGGTCTGAGGGGCAGTAACCTTCCCCTCTCAGTGACCACTACCCTCTGGAGCTCCTCGGCTCTGAACCCGACTCTCCCTGCCTCTTCCTCTGTCTTTGCTTATGTCTGCTTCCTCTGCCTGCCTGTCTCCCTCTGCCTGTCTGCTCGCTCGTGTTCCCCTGTCTCTCTCTGCCTCTGACCCACAGGGACAAACAGGAAGACACTGTCTCAGTTCCCAGCCTGTGTTCTGTGCCCCTTCACATAGCTCCGAGCTGCTCTCCAGCTTCAAAAGGCGCATTAATTACTCTAATGAGGTCAGGAGAGACTCCGCACATGCCATCCAGCTCCAGAAAGTGGTGCCCCCCACCCCATGCCCGCCCTGCCGCCTGTCAGCGCCCAGCCCTGGCCCCCCTGGCATTCACGCGGGGTAATTGGCAGCCCCGCCAAGGTTAATGTGCTGTGAGCAGGAAGTGCACGGCGGCTAAAAGTCAGGAGCGGGGCTATCAGCAAGAGATGAAAGGCCGCCACACGCATGCGTGTGTGCTGCCACCTCTCATGCACACTCAGCTGACTCCACAGTGTGGATACGATACGGACAGCCAGGTGTGCACACCCACACTCAGTTCACACCACAAGTTAGACAGTTGTGGACAGCTAGGTCATGCGCACAGACCCACACAGCTGACACCACAGTGTGTGGGCAGCTGGGCCCCACACACCCACAGGATGCCATACCGTGTCTCACTCAAGTCCTCAGGCAAAGTCTGTGTCTGGGTTCAAGTCCTGTTTCCGTAGACCCAACCTGCCATTGCTCGGGGTAGGGTGGCCACCAGGACACTTTGGGCTCAGAGGCACAGCATTTGGGGGCCCAAGTGAGGCCCCTTACTGTATCTGACCCCAGGACCCACAGATGTGGCTTGAATCCAGCATCCTCTCGGGGCTGGCATTGCAGCCCCCCTGTCTCAGCCATAACTCCCAAACCCTGGAGCTCTGGCTTCCCCGCTGTGACCACACACAGCCCCCTGGAGCTTCCCAAGGAGTGGCTGGTGGTTTCCAACGCCTGGACCCTGTGGTTGGCAGCTCAGCATGTGGCCACCGTGCCACTAGAGCCCCCCCCAACCCTCGTTTAACCCAGTGAAGCCGGGACAGCCCAGTCCTCCGCTGCACTGCCCGTGGCTAGCAGCTGGTGTGGCTGGGGACTGCCAGGACAGGACAGTGTCATCACAGGACCAAGGGCTTTGCCACCAGGCGCCAGGGCTGGAGGAGGAAGGGAGAGACCTCAGTGGCCCGTCCCTGGTGTGGTGGGGTGACAGGCCTGGTGGGTGTGGCTGCAGCAGTTTCAAGGCTCCCAGAAGGGGAAGGAAAGGTGGGTTTAGGTTCAGTGGCAAGCATGCCCCACGGTGTGCTGAATGGCTTGGGCCCTGAGGGGGCCCTTATCACCAGGACACTGGCCTGGCCCCTGGGCAGGCGGCCTCCCCACCTGGCCATCTCTCTGGGCACCTGAAACCTCAAGCCTAGCAGTCCCATTGACTCAGCAATGGGAAACTTCCCTCTGCTCACTTTTAACTGCCTGTGTCTCATTGTGGCCTTTGAGGGCTGCAGGGCTGCTGGACGTGACTGGAGCCCAGGCCCTGGGTGGGCAGTAAGTGGGCAGGGACATTAGGTGGCAGGCTCAAGTTGGGGCCCATGGCAGGACAAAAGGCCTTGCACCCACCTCAGGGCAGCAAGGATACTGAGCTCAAGAGTGCGGGCCGCCCACCTGGAGAGGGGACACAGCCTATCAAGATCCTGCCTGGGGATGACCCCTGACCTCTAACACCTGCTGCTAAAGGAAGCTTGGCCCCTGAATGACCTTTGGCCCTAGCTGACCCTCTCCAGTCTGAGCCACTGGCAGGCTAGGGGTCTCAGACTCTCACAGGGCAAGCAGGGGTTCCTGCCCTTCCCCTTGCCGCCCAGGCCCATGCCTCCAGCTGCCTGCCCGGCCTCCCCAGTTTCCTCTGAAGCGGCCTGCGGCGGGAGGTTGAATGCCTTTGTTCCTGTCCCCACTCCGCTCTGACCTTGAGAGAGACAGAACAGAAGAAGCTCAGAGTCTGCTTGAGCCTGCATGCAGATGAGGTGCCGGCCTGCAGCCACGCCTGCCGCCCCCAGAGACCCCGCAGAGCCCTGCAGAGCAGGAGGTGGCCACTGGACTGGGCCGCACCCCTGACCTCCCCAAGAAAGCCCCTGGCTCAGGATGCCTCCCCCCCCGCCCCCGCCCTCCTCTGTCGGGGTGGATCTGGGGGCTGGGGTTTGCCTGAGGGTGTGTTTCACCCATGGTCCCTTCATGGCTGGGCCAAACCTCCAGTGGAAAGGACAGAAAGCATTGTCCCGTGGGTGGGAAGAGCAGAGGGGACCCAGGCCTGGAAGGAGGAGCAGAGTTTGGGAGGGCTTCCAGGTAGGGCCCCAGCTAGAGCAAAAGTCAGGGTGGGGCAGAAGGGGTAGACTCAGGCACACCTGGCACACTCACACCTGGCTTCCTCATTCCCTTCCCCACCTTGCTGCCTGACGCCAGCTCCCGGAGGAGCCAAACTCCCTGCCCACACAGCGAAGCTGCCCCGTGGATTTCCGAGGCTGTCAGTGGTCATGGGAGCAGACAGCCTCAGTATTCTCGAAATGGGCTTGAAACACCTTACAGACCCGCCGTGCTGCTAGGGCTTCTGTGGCACCAGCTAGTGAGCGCCATCTCAGGGCCTTCACTGCCCCTGCCAGGAGTGTCCACCAGGGGCCATCCAGGCTGGGGGTGGGGGAAATCCTGCCTGACACAGTGGTCCCTGGAGTCCTGGTAGTGCAGTGGTTAGGCACTGGGCTTTGATCTGCAAAGTCCACCGTCAGAAACCCCCGGCTGCTCCGTGGGAGAAAGACTGGGCTTTCTACTCCTGTGAACAGTTAGTCTTGGACACCCTCGGGGGCCGTCCTCCAGGTCGGCACTGACTCGACAGCAGTGAGTTTGGTCGTACTGGAAGGTAGACCCCGGCTGAGGGCGCCCTGGTGGCGTCGAGGGTTACCTTGGGGCCGCGTGGTCGGCAGTTCGACACCAGCAGCAGCTCCCTCAGGAGAAAGACTGGACTTTCTACTCCTGTAAATAGTTCCATTCTCAGAACCCCATGGGGGCACTTCTATAGGGCCTGTCGCATAGGGCCACTAAGAGTCAGCATCGACTGGACGGCAGTAAGTCTGTCTGGGGGGGATGGTCCTCCGGCACAGTGCAGCCAGTGCTTGGTGTCCAAAGTGGAGTCTGGTGGGAGGCTGCCACAGAAACAAGCCTAGCCCTTGGGTGCTGGCACCCCTGAATTCTTAGCAGCTCAGACTCCCTGGCCTTGGGAGGGAGGGCGCACTGCCCCACTTTCCCAGCACCCTTCCTCCATCTGCCAGGCAAGTGGTGTGTGGCCTTGTGTGTTCCCAGATTTGCTTGGGGTCTCCCCAGCAGCCCACTCACCCTCCACAGTATGGGCCTCTGTGCCTAGCACAGAGTGGGGCAGGGATGGTAGGTACTGAGGCCTGAGTAGAGCAGCGCCTGCCCTGGGCTCAGCAAGCGAGCACTGACCCGGTTTCCACACTTAAGGTCCCCACTGAGCACCCCGGGCCTGCTGCAGGGGGCCTGGGGCCCCCAGACGCAGATCGGAAGCGTGTCTGGGTTGTGTGTGCTGTGCTGCAGACGGTGAAGGGAGGGGAGGTGGAGTCACTACACGTGTCCACTCGGTCCAGCCTGAGCCGGGGGGTCGCTGAAGTCTGGGAACGGAACACGGGTCTAGGACCCAATGGCCAGCGCAGGGCCGAGGCACGGCTACAGCAGCAACCGGCGCCCCCCAAGCCCCGTCCAGCCCCCGAGGCCGGGGCAGGGCGGGAGGGGGCGCCCGCGACCCTGCGAGCGCTCACGCGGGACAAAGACCGGACT